CATTACATGATAGATGTGTGGCGAACTCTAAATCCAGACGGTAAGCGTTTTTACCTGGCGGAGAACTAAACCTGAAGTGCACTGTCGTCTCGACTATTTATGATCAGTTCAAGCTTAACCACAGCAATCACAAATGCAGATATTTTACAGGGTTATAAGATCGATCATTCCCTAATTACAACCCACCTGGCTAGTAATAATAACCATTGAGGCCCGGGTTTCTGGAAATTCAGCGAGTATATTGAGTTGATTAAAAAAACTAGTGATGAAGTTACAATGGAGAACAGAAACAATGACGATGCAGATGCTGTCCTCCTCTTGGAAACTATGAAGATGCAGATTCGCTCTAAGCTCGCTAAAATATGCAAGAGAAAAAAAAGGCTAAAAAAGGAAGAAAGCGAATTCTCACCAGTTTCTAGGAGTCGAGGCGGCGGTAGTGAGTATCTTGAACCTTTTTGCTTGAAGTAGTTGATGCGTTGATGAAGAATAATGGGTGTCCCCGATAACGGAATTCGTCTTAAACAGTGTTGCAACGGTCACAATTTGATATTAATTAATATTTAATAACAAAATGTTGCCATTAGTAAAATGCATAAGTTGTAGAGTATCAGATTCATACAGCAAAGTAAATTGATCATCAAAATTGGCTTTCTAAACTAAATTTTCAAAGTAGACACTTCGACAACCGGTCATTTCGCTCCCGATCGACTGCAGCCAGGTGCGCCCCTGCTCAGTAATATCAGTTTTCCTTTTTAATAAAGCAACTTTATTTGAATCAATAAAAAATTGTGCCGAAAATGGAAGATAGAGCAGAACAAAATTTTCAATGGAGTGCTTAACGCTGTATCAATATCTGCTACTCTTTACCCTAAATTTTAGGATATTCAGTACCCCTAATAAATTCAGAATCAATTGTTATTTTTTTCTTTGTTCAGTTCTAGAAAAAAAATCCTATTTTGAATAAAAAGCAAATTCAATGCTGCAGTTGGTTACTATTAGTAAGTAAATGGAGATGTATTTTAAAGTCTCATATGTTTTGTTTTTCAAAATTATATATCGAGGATGGGCTCAATTTTTTTGAGGAAGGTGAATAAAAATTAGCAGGTGTATGAAGTATTAGTCATGAGATTCGATGCCAGGTTTGCAAATAATAGGACCTCAAGTTACACAAAAAAATTTTTTGCATTTTACACTAGAATGTTATTTCTCTTTCGAAAATACCGTCGATTGCAAATTGCATTTACTCTCTTGTATTGATATATTTTATGCATTTAGAATTTCTGAAAATATTTGCTGAAGCATACGGATAGCATCACAGTCTAAATCGTGAACTTTTGCAAGACATTCCCCTTTAATGATAATTAAGTTTCTTCAACTGTTGCTAAGAACTACGCACATCAAACTTTCATTTCGTTGTTACTTAATGTGTAACTCTTTGTAATCTTTCTAGATTCCACACAAAAATGTTGCTTGTGTTTCCTACTCTTTCAATTTTTAGCATGCGTAATTGACTCTTAACCCACACTGAAGCCTTTTGTTATAATTATATATTATTAACAGCTTTCTCGAATCATCTGTTTTGTTAGAGAACTAATTTGCTTGGGCAAAGCATAGTGTTTAACTAAACCATACCTTTTCCTGAAAGTCGTAAAATTCGTTTTTATTCTTTTTATGTGCCATTTTCTTACCATCTACGAAAATGCCATTAAAAAATAGTGTTCAGTTAAGATAGCAGTGAGGCAAATCATGCTCTTATTTTGTTCCGATGCCAAATGGGAAAGGCAATATATATTTAGAGTTAATTGTGCTGGCTAGTGGGATTTCAAGCCTAATTCGACCTTAAAATGCATGATGCTCATTTTGGAGCCAAAACGTTCGAAAAGTTGCTTATTTTAAATTCCATTTGACTGCAAAATCTTTGTACAGGCGGTCCTGTACCACACATATAGAAAATGACCCTTCCAAATGTAAATCGAAAGGCTAATTATCACATTTATATCCAAAAATCGACAAAAGTTTCCGCGCCTTAATAACCAAACTTATAATTACGCCAACAAGTCATCTAAAACGTACCTACCATGTGGTGTCCCGCAGGGAACGATTTTAAGGCCTCTTTTGTTTTCACTATAATTATATAAATGACCTTCCCAATTGCCTCATTCATTCACAACCTAGAATGTATGCTGACGACACTAGTATCACCTATATGTCAACGCTAGAAAGGAATCCCATAATTGAAATTAACCAGTTTCCGATTAAACAAGTGCCGACTTCAAAATCCCTAGGTGTTTACATCGATGGAATCTTTCTTGTGAGTGTCATATTAACGAAATCTCAAAGGAGATTGCTTCTGGCATTAGTGCGATTTAGCGTATTAGGTATTTTCTCCCTTTTGAGATTCTAGTTAACGTATACAATTAACTGGTACAGCCACACTTTGATTACTCCAATGTAGTATGGGGGAATTGTTCCGAGGACCTATCTTCTAAATTGTAGAAATTGCAGAATCACGTCGCTCGCGTTCCAACTTTCTCTAATTATGACTGCAGTATTAGTGAATTATTTGAAAGTTTAAAGTGATCGAGACTTGTCCATCAGCGCGTAGTTAGTAAAGTAATAATGATGCATAGAATTGTAAATAACACAGCTCCAGAATATCCGACCTCGCGCTTTATTCGTCGCTGCGATTTAACGTAGAGAGAATGAATACAAGCTCCACAACCCCGCACTGAATTTTATAAAAGAAGTCTTCGCAAGTGTCGAAAGCACGAATTTTGTAGGGGGGTCTGGGGGTATTCTCCCCCAGAAGATTTTCAGATTTGGAGGCTCCCAAAAGCTATTTTCAGCACTTGTCATGAAATGTGTCCGAAAAATCGACCTCAAATATGAAAATGGCAAACAATTGCAACTCACTATTACCAAAATAACGCTATTTTCAGCACTTGTCATGAAATGTGTGCGAAAAATCGACCTATTAACTGAGTCTAAATAAAGCAAATCCATCCACAGACTTAGCGTGTCTGGCTCAACAGGTCCCCTTGGGAATGAAAGAAAAAAATCCAAAGCTTTGACATGAAATATATTGCATAAATGAATAAAGTTAAGTAACAATTATTCACCTAAGTGTCGGTGGCTAGTGGGGATATGTACCTCGCCACTAGCGCGGCCTCGGTACATCCCACCACTAGCCACCAACACTGAGGCGAATAATTGTTTTAGTATGTACTAAAACAGTGAGATAATTGAGCACAAAAATGATGATTTTTAACTCATTTACTGTTGCCTGTAACGAGTAAGCCCGATACACACGAGGGGTTTTGCTCCCGGAGCATGCTCCAGGCTCATTTTGCACATGTCAGTGCACTCGAGGGAGCGTTTTCAAGTTCGCTCTATTTGCCCTGGGAGCTTGCTCCCAAATATTTAGCAGGTTAAATATCGTGGAGCATTTTGCGGGGTAGAAATTCTGCTCGCGAGGATGAAGTATACCCATGAAATCGTCGGTACGTACACACGGAGGAGCTTTGCTCCCGGAGCGTACCCCTGGAGCATGCTCCGGGAGCAAAATCCCTCGTGTGTATCGGCCTTTTCAATTTTGGCGCGCAATGACCGAACGGCTGCGGTCGTCGCTTTTTGTTGCCGACAAATAAAACTTTTGAAGGCATTTGTTTAGCTCTTGCGGGGAAATTTCCTCAAAAGGAGTTCTGAATTCTTTTATATTTAAAATCATTCTGTAAAAACGATAATTAAATTTAGTTTGAAGCTTATTTATGAACAAGTCAACTAAATACAGTAACGCAAGACCTAAGCTTAATTTGCATTTGTAAACAAAAAACGTTTTCGCCGGTTTTATCGATAAATTCAAGTCAAAAAGACAAAGTTTTACCGGTTAAAATTTCCACCCCAAACTTCGTCACCCTCTTCGTGTATTTCGGGAACAGCTTGCATAATTGCTTGATTACTTGTGAATTGTCTGTTTGTTAAGGCAGCAAACCGGGAAGGCATTTTGCTCGCAACTTACGCGAGTTTGGCGTCGCTCGCTCGGAGGAACTGGAGGTGAATCAGTGAATAGTGCAGGATATTCACTGATTGAGTAGCCAATCAGAGCGCGCGAAAAGCACCATCCACTGTTTTAGTATGTGCTATAAAAGGTCTTATTAATGTTGTTTGACGCCGTAACAGGTACATGTGTGGTTATTTTATTTTCAACACGCTTAGTCTGAGCTCTTTTTATTTGGAACTACCTAGCCTCCTATGAATACTCAATCAATGTTACGAGGAGGTGCGAAGAGAATAAGTAGGAAAAAAACTAGATTTATTAATGATATCTATCCGTAGTTTTCACATGACGTCAGTCACCAACACTCAAAAGTAAAGATCAATTCTCCTTTGATTTTGCTTTAATTACCGGAACATTAAACGAAACTTTTATACTGCATTTTTTGCATTCTTTTGTAATTCATTTACTTGTATTAACATGACACTTTAAACTTAAGCTAAAATAGAATTACCTTCAAACTTTAACTTAAAGGTAAGTTTCGTTTAATTTTCAGTTAAGTTCTATTTCGTCATCATTCAGTTAGGGATCTCATGAGAAGTTTAGAGCAAGTATTTGTGAACGCAAAGATAACAAATATTCAATATGTCAGGTAACACGACATTTATTTCTTCACTGGCTCAAATCTCAGAGATAGAGAGGGACAAATAGATTACAGTTGCCGTGTACTGTCCAACAGAACTCTTGCCAATTCTCCATGTTGCATTGTTGAATTGGTTGCTTGTAATAATTTTGCAAAAGAACAATGTCCTGACCAACCCGCTGTTCGAAGAATAGTGTCAACAAGAACCTTAGCTACTGCAGCTGCACTGGCTGACGCAGACCTGATACTATGAGGTTTAAAGCGACTTGAATCAATTCCAGAAAGTTCTAAGGTGGTTTTATCCACCGAGATATAGTATCTTTGGTGGCCGCTATATACGGTTTAACACATATGACAAACAAACTAGTAATGGAGATATTTGCCAGGTTTTGTTTGCTTTAGTTGGACTCCAATCGAAAACTTGACGATGGAATTGTTCACCACCATGTTCGGAATGTCCAAAAAATAAAGGGTTTGACACCTCTGTGCTGATAAAATTCCCAGTAAGGTAACAGTCTTGTACGTCAACATTTTCAGTAATAATTATTTAACGGAGGATAAACTCTTGAAATAGTTTAACAACATAGAAGGGTCCTCAGTGACAGTGTATCTTGGTCAATGCAGGTTTTTGTTGAAAAACTCCTTTTAGAAACTGCTTAACAATAGGAAGTTCTCCAAATGAAACCGCTGAGGAAATGTGTACTAACTGTGATAAGGCAGACCTCACAGTGTTCATAGCACAGTGTTCGTAGCACAAGGTCTAGACCTTGTTTGTCAACCAAATATATAGAAATTTTCCTTGTACCCCCATTTATCTAACTACTCTGTTCTCTCTTTGACGAGTGAAAATGGAGGGAAAGCATAAAAGTATTGTCCCTTCCAGTTAAGGGAAAAAACGTCCATAGCCATTTTCTCTGAATCAGGTGTCCAGGAGACAAAGGGTGTCAACTGGTAGTTCAACCTGGAGGCAAAGAGATCTACTGAAGGAGAGCCCCAAAGAGGAATTATACATTCAAACAATTGAGAAGTGAGTTTCCATTCTGAGTCTGATCGTTTTTCCCTGGACTCTTTATCTGCTAAAACATTTTGCTTCCCAGGGATATGCAATGCAGACAACCACATACCATGTTGTGCACACCACACCCACAGTTCCCAGGTAATTTGGCTACACGAAAGGCTTCGACCTCCCATGCTATTCATATATGATATGCCAGTTGTTTTATCAATCATAGCTTTCACATGACAATTTTGAACATCTGAGCAGAATGCCTTCAAGGTGAGGAAACATGCCAGGATCTCAAGGTAATTAGTGTGGTTTTGGATTCATCCTCAGACCACTGCCCCCCAGTTGATGTGGAATTAACAACCCCTCCCCAGCCAGTAAGGGATGCGTCTGAATAAATTGTGACTTGGGGGTTACCATGGGTAACAGTGTTTGATGTGTTCGTAATTTTAATCCAGCACGGAAGGTCAGACCTTACCTTATCTGAAAAGTTTATGAAAGAGTCAAAATTGCCTTTCTTTGTTTCGGAGCAGCCACTTTTTCTATTTCAAGTTGTCTGTAATAAAGGGGCCCATCCACTGTACCCCAGGAAAACTTGAAACCATAAGGTCAATCACTTCAGAGACAGTCCGTATAGTGAGGGACTGGTTGTCAAGCAGGTCAATTACTTTTGATATTAATTTCAAGCTTTGAAAGGTGTTAGAGATATTGTCATTTGAAGAGAATTTAATACAAAGCCCCATAAAGTAATGACCTTACTTGGTATAAGGATGATTTTGCCATGTTTACGTCAGAGCCAAGTCTGTAAATAACCTGACAGTGGTAGATACATTTGTTTCATAATCAGAAAAGGTGTTCCCTTTGAGATAAGTGTCATCAATGTATGCCACGTTTTCAAACCTTTGCTCCGTAAAACAGAATATGTTGGTTTCAGAAGTTTTGTGAATATTTTTGGAGCACTGCTTAATCCATTTGGAAGACAAGTAAACTGAAACGACTGGTGTCTACTTAGATGTTCTCAAAACATAGTCAAGAAAAGAAACGACGACTGGTTCTTCAATTTGAATCGGAGGTATTTCCTGTGATTTGGGCCGCCTATTGACACAGAATGCTAGGCATCTTTTAAATCAATGCTAGCCATGTAACAGTTGGGGCTCATACAGATAATAACACTTTTACGATTTTCGATTTTAAAATGGTGGTATTCCACAAACTCATTCAGATATTTCAAATTAAGTAACAGTCGATATGAGCCATATTTCTTTGGCCTAATAAAGATGTTCGAGATACATTCTCCTTTGGAATGTGTTGTTTTCTCAGTAACTCCTGTTTGTAAAAACTGTTCTATTTGGCTGTCACTAATAATAACCTCAGTTGCATTGAAATAGTATTCTCGGGGAATAATGATCTGCTTTGGATAAGCGGCAAACTCAATTCTAACCCCCTTTACAACACTGAGTATGAAATAATCAGAAGTTATGGTTTGCCATAAAGACACAAAGTGTTTTCGTTTGCCAGCAACAATGGTACAGTAATTGTGTGGTCATGATTAGTATCATCGTCAAGACTCACCTGGGAATCTAGGTGGTCTTGGGACTTAGTAAGTGCTACTGTTGTTATTCGGGGTTTCTCTTTCCTTTTGGGGTCCGGGAGTGATCACTTCGCCGGACCCTGAGCCCTCCATAAGGCTTATGATTCGGATTGTGCTAACGATGAGGAAAGTTCGGCCTTCTTGAATGTCTGTGGTATTGTGGCTGGGTACTTTGATGAAACCTTGACATCCACTTTATTGGTTTCATTAATTTCCTTTACTGACTTTAGCAAGTCATCTCCAAATAGCCCTTTGGTTACTGGGTTTTGTGAGCTGCATAGCTGCTTGAACTTATCATTTGGATCGCCATTTAGATCACGTTTTATAAGCTCACCTTGTTTGAGATTAAACTCCTTAATAGAGTCAGACACATAACTCTTTCATGCAGATTTTGAATTAGATCTTAACTCCAGCAACTTGTCAGCATCTTTGACAATGGGAATCATGCTCCTCAGAAGGTTTGTTTCCAGTTTTTGCATCCTCAAATCTCTGGGTCTAGTATTATATATAACCTTGCTCCAGATTTCTGTATTTACTCGTGTCCTTATAAGGTTTTCACAGTTTTCTGGTCTGTTGTATTTCTCATGTTTTCATTTTGCTGATCGCTTACCGTTCCTTCGGAGTCATAAATTTGGTAAGTTCTCCGAGGACTTCATACTCGTCGGTTTTGGAGCGCTTTTTTGAGGCAGCTGTTTGCAAAAGGTCATCGACCTCATTGGAAATGTCGGTCGGGTTTCCCGCCATTGCAGTATCTTCTTGTTCACTGCATTCCGATTCACTCATTTCATGTCTTTTTCTCTTACGAGACGTTTCAGCCTGACTGAAAACTTCCATCGTGGAGTTCACTGTAGCAATCTGCTGCTGCATCGAAGTCAGTTACTGACGCTGAAGACTTTTAGTTCTTTTAGTTTGTGCAAAACCCGAGTGGACTGATCAGTGGATCAGTGGAATTTCTGCTACGGACTAACTTCTTCTTTGGTTTTGTGGTTTTCTCTCTGTCCTGAGTCCCGGACAGATTAGTATCTCCAGTGGAGATGCTCAAGTGATAGTCTCCGCTATGTTTTGAGGTCTCGATTGAGGCCACTGCTGATTGCAGCATATTGTGACCACACGAGTCGAAGAGACAAAAGAAATATACAAATCGAGTCCGTCGGACTGTCATTTTGGAAGAAATTCAGGGAAATTTCGCAGTGCTATTGTAAACACGTCCGCCAAGGAGAGGGAAATGATTCGCATTGGTTTCTCGGATAGGATTGTGCAATCTCATGGGATACCTACTCTGAACAGTGACGAAAATAGAATGAAGTGTCAAAGCAGCTAAAAACTTATGTTCTTACAAGGTTTTACTGCGAAAGGGTTGTTTGTGTTGTGATAGAGTGCGCTTGAATTTCTAATCTTTTGCGTGACAAGGCATTTACAGTGACGTGGCAGTCGAGAGAGTTGCCATGTAGGTTAGGTTGTAAAGACTTGACTTAGTTCGGGGGATGTGGCTTGGCATTCGTAGCATAACATACTACTAACAATACTCGTAGATTTCTAAAATTATGCCAGTTTTTGTAAATTACGCCTATTTTAGCAAAAATATATGCAGAAATTATGCCTGTACTATTTACTTTCTATTTGGTAAAAACTCCTCAATTACTGAGCAATTAACACGTAAAGGCAAACAAATTTTCCCTATCCATAAACTAAAAAGTTTCCTAGCGCATAATTCATCAAAAATTACCTGGTTATCAATATCTTGCAAAGTATTTACAGTGAACGGCAGCTTCGATAACCGAGATGCGCATGCGTTGAGTCCTGTGGAAGAATTCTGGTTCACTTCCTGTGGGAAGCAGGTCCGATGAATGTGACAATAAGGAGACAAAAATAATCCGGGCGCGCGAGAAGCGCGAAAAGCGCGCGAGGGGTGGGGTAGGGAACGCCTGCAAGGACGCTAAAGTCTTTTTCTTTGTTCACATCTAACAGAGAGGTAAAGAAATCCTGATTGATTAGAATTCCAAACAAGTCAATCAGAGCCTTAATGCTTTAATTCCATTTGACCCGCGATTACCCGAAATTTTCTGCTTGTTTGTCGCACGTTTTTTTTAGAACCGAGAAGCATTTTGGAGTTGTTTGTTCCACTTAATAGATTTTTATTTGTGTGATCGACCTGAGGAAATGTTTGGTCGTGAATTGAACCTAAGAAATATCTTGGTTTTTGTGGATTTTTGGTCGTGTGTTCGAACTGAGAATTTCTTTTTTGTCATGTGCTCGACCTGAGGAAGTGTTTGCTCGTGAATAAAAAAAAAAAAATAAAATAAATATTAATAAAATAATAATAATAAAAAAAAATCGGTCGTGTGTTGACAGCTGCCGAAAGACTTATTTTGGTCTTGCGTTTGACCTGAAAAAGATTTGGTCGTGCCTCGGTGCCCGTTCTGAGAGAGACTTTGACAGTGCACGGGGCCTGTGAATGCTTTTAGTCGCGTGTTCGGCCTTAAGAAGAGTCTGGTGTTGTGTTCGACCTTGGGAAGTGTTCAATCATTTGTCCGACCTTTCAAAGAATTTGGCCGTGTGTTTGGACTTAAGTGTTCTACAGCGTGTTCGAGGGTTAACGTTTAAAGGCTTTTGGTCATGTGGTCGTCTTTTAGGACTCGGTAGCGTTTTCTGGTCAAAAAAAAAAAAAATGTGCCTTTTCCCTCTTCCCGCCCCTGCCGGGATCTGAAGGGAAATCTAAACTAATTCGTATAACCCATCTCAGGATGGGTTCCTGCTCCGGTCGGGATATGTAGGAGGGTCTTAATGGGGGTTAACCCATAGGCGTAAAATGGCCAAAAATTTAGTCGACAGCCGTAAAAATTGAAAAATTTTAACGTTTAGCCGTAAAAAAGGTAAAAAAGAGTTAACCGTAAAAGAAATTGTTCCCTACATTTGTTAATTTTAAGGAAGGTGTTAAACTCACTTATGGTTGCGTTATTAGTAGTTATGGAAATGGGGGTTCTGAGTACT